TATCTCTTAAACCATATCCTATAAACTGGGGATAACCATACCCCCAAAATTCTTTCTTCATGCAAATAGAAGGCCGGTTAGCAAGATGAATTTTATATGTGCCCTCACTATCACTCCAAAGGCAATTAGCCATCTGAGAATCAATCAGGGTTATGGATCATTTTGGAAGAAGGAAGGCATATAAATCGGGATAATAGCCAGACAAGGCTTAATCAAAGTGATTACCCTAAATAAGAAAGTAATTTCCCTCTCCAAACTGGAATCATAGCAAGGAGTTTGTCTATTAGAGGTTGTAAATCATAGCTCCTCAATTTATCAAAGTTTAAGGGAAAACACAAATACTTAATACGAAAAGCATCGGCTCTACATTGGAAAATCTGAAGGAAAGAATCAAGTTCATTATCTTCTAAATTAATAGGGACTAAGTAATTCTTATGATAATTAAACCTCATACATGGAACTTGTTCAAAGGATGTGCGGATCCATTTTAGATTAAGAGCTACATTTAGATCATTTTCTAGAAATAATAGTGTGCCATCTGCATATTGCAAACATACCACACCCCCAGAGAGGACTCTCATGGGAAATATATCTCTTAAACCATATCCTATAAACTGAGGATAACCATACCCCGCAAATTCTTTCTTCATGTAGATAGAAGGCTAGTTAGCAAGATGAATTTTATCTGTACCCTCACTATCACTCCAAAGACGATTAGCCATCTGAGAATTAATCAGGGTTATGGATCATTTTGAAAACATGAAGAATGAAGGCACATAAACCGGGATAAATAGCTAGACAAGGTTTAATCAAAGTGATTTACATAAACAAGAAAGTAATTTCCCTCTCCAACTTGGAATCATAGCAAGGAGTTTGTCTATTAGAGGTTGTAAATCATAGCTCCTCAATTTATTAAAGTGTAAGGGAAAATTCAAATACTTAATAGGAAAAAAATCAGCTCTACACTGGAAAATCTGAAGGAAAGAATCAAGTTCATTATCTTCTAAATTAATAGGAACTAAGTAATTCTTATGATAATTAAACCTCATACCTGGAACTTGTTCAAACAATGTGAGGATCCATTTTAGATTAAGAGCTACATTTAGAGCATTTTATAGAAATAATAGTGTGCCGGCTTCATATTGCAAAACATTGTAATCAACGGGCGATGATTCTTAGGGGCACGTACACGAAGACTTTTCTGATGTCATCGACAACGGTCAAGTTGGCTCGGTTAGAGGAGCGCCGATAGCGGCGCGTTAGCGGCTCGTTCTGGCGGCAGTAGTGGTTGTTCGGTGATCTTGAAATGTCGATGTTTTATACTTGCGATAAACTCTGGTCATAGATCTGGATTAGTTTTGCCAAAAGAAGGCGTTATAGACAAAAGTACTACAAATA